TGTTATGTCTTGTTATTGCATGAAAAGGACAGCAGGGGGAGCTCTGACTGTATATATAAGAAGCGGAATGAAGGAGAAGAAAAGAGAAGAGAATAAAGAGAGAACTGAAGCTGAGCTACGTGTCTTGCCTGCTGATTCTACTATTTCATTATAACAACACAACACTTGTATTCGGTGTTCTGGCAGGAGATATCAGCACTGATCAAACTGAGCTTGGGACAAAAATAGTTCTGAAAGTGAGACTTGTTAGCTTGCAGCTCCAGGGTGGTGAAACTCACCAAACCTGCACCAAACTCAGAACGTCTCAGAATTTTCTGGTGAATTAATTATGAAATAACTATCCCGTGAGCACGACATGCTCTTGCTCTCAGTAAATAAAGCAAAGCCACTTTATTTATTTCATCTGCCATTAAACAAACCAGCAGAGAAGGAGAGACCGGCAGAGGAGGGGAAAAAAAGGCTCTCGACGTGCTTAACGCGCGTCAAGCGAGCGTCTAAATAACGAGCGTCCAACTTGAAACGTTCGACACAATCTTGATGCTCAAAACGCTTTTGGTGTGAATGCACCATGAGACTGTGCGTCCAGGCTGTAACAGGCGATCTGTTTTTAATTTGATTTATTACTCATTAATCTTACAACTTTGTCAGCTGTTATACACAATTTTAGCTAAAAATTCCAGCAAAAATGTATCGCAAATGCCTTCCTCTAGGGTTCTTTTAGGCAGTTATGGCTACTTTGAGCTATTATTTCTGCTACAATTGCTAGCTTCTAGCATTTGTTACTTCTAGGTTTTAGTTTCAAACTTTTTCTTTTTTCTTTTACAAACTTTATACTGCTTTTATCTAGCATTTTAACATTTTAGCTTATAGATGCGTATTTTGCTAAACGTCTAACCATTTCATGGAGGTCATGAATGGATAAAATATTAGATGCTGGAGCTGCAATAGTTTTTAAATAACCTTTTGCTACTTTTAACTACTTTTCGCTTTTTGCTACATTTAGTTTCTAGTCAGTTTTTTAGCTTTTAGCAAGTGTTCAGCCAGTTTTAGCAGTCATTTAGCATGTAGCATTTACATTACATTACAGAAAATGCAGTTTCTCTGATTTCAACAATGCTTTAGTGTTCAAACAATCTCTTTGCACAACTTGTCCTAATATTTAAACTTAAATGCACAATACCTGATCTCAGCTTGTATCACTCGTTATAAATAGAGGTTTTTAAAGGACGCTTCTTGTCCTTTCTCTCAGCTTCTACGATCTATCTTTTTGCAGCGCAGTCTTCTGCCTTTTCTGCTCCTTTTTGAAACTGTTTTTTTCTGCACATCATGTTTTCCAGTAAACAGCAGTGTAGCTTTCCCTACAAATGAGACTGAAGTAGTACAACACTCCAGCAGAGTCGAGAGCCAGTACCTGTTGCCAGCAACAGTATCACTTGTACCCTAATAATACGGCCACCTCAAAATGAGCAGGGTGTTGATTTCCTGATGTCACAACCAATCGTGAAGCCCCTTTAAATAGCCTTAAGGGCGTCACAGACCCTTTTGCATCTCAGGACGGTTTGCTAACAGTATCCATGGCAGGACACAGGGGCTCCTGATAGTCTGGATCACATCTGTCCCACAAAATCACTATGATGCACAAACTGGCAATCTTTGGACAGCTAAACCTTCCATCTGATTGGATTGTTGTGTACATAAAACACACACACAGGAAGTTCATAGATGGCTAAGAGAGCAGATTCGTAACATGTTGATGGATGTTTCCAGGCTGTTGGGATGAGAGTGTGCTATCAGCAGACTACAGACACCGGCAGAAAGGAAACTGTTCTAATTAGTTCACTGTGGGAAAACAAAGAATATTGAAATACATTTAATCAGAGTTTAAACCTGCAGCAGAACCGCCCCCACCTGATGTATGTTGGCGTGCAAAATAAAGACAACCGTCCACAAGTTGTTGATGCTGAATGAAACCAACCGAAGACATGGTGTTCTATAAATTCTAGACCTATAATTTTTGCAAATGACATAGCCATCTCATAAATCTAGGATACTATTTCTATATATTGAACACTCAATATTTGTAAAATTCAGATTTATGCACGCACACACACACACACACACACACACACACACAAAATACATTTTTCTTTCTATGAGGGGAAGCAGACTGCTAACAGTGTGAAAGAGATTAGAGCCACACGCTTTGTAAGCATTCTTATTAAGTCTGTGTCTCAGTCTAGGTTTTAAGCTTATTTATACCATAATCCAAGTCATGTCCTTGTTATAAGGCATGTTCAAGTGGCAGCAGAGACTAATGCTGGCTTCAAAGATGGATAAGTGTGCAGAAAGTTTTGTTAATGAGTTAT